CTAAAACCCTTAAACCCTAAATCCTACAACTCTTAAACCCTAAAGCCTAAAACCCTTAAAGCCTAAAACCCTTAAACCCTAAATCCTAAATCCTAAAACCTTAAACCCTAAAGCCTCAAACCCTTAAACCCTAAAGCCTAAAACCCTTAAACCCTAAAGCCTAAAACCCTTAAACCCTAAAGCCTAAAACCCTTAAACCCGAAATCCTAAAACCCTTAAACCCTAAATCCTCAAACCCTTAACCCTTAAAGCCTAAAACCCTTAAACGCTAAATCCTAAAACCCTTAAACCCTAAAGCCTAAAACCCTTAAACCCTAAATCCTCAAACCCTTAAACCCTAAATCCTAAAACCCTTAAACCCTAAAGCCTCAAACCCTTTAAACCCTAAATCCTAAAACCCTTAAACCCTAAAGCCTAAAACCCTTAAACCCTAAACCCTAAAACCCTTAAACCCTAAAGCCTAAAACCCTTAAACCCTAAAGCCTCAAACCCTTAAACCCTAAATCCTCAAACCCTTAAACCCTAAACCCTAAACCCTTTAACCCTAAATCCTCAAACCCTTAATCCCTAAAGCCTCAAACCCTTAAACCCTAAATCCTAAAACCCTTAAACCCTAAAGCCTAAAACCCTTAAACCCTAAAGCCTCAAACCCTTAAACCCTAAATCCTAAAACCCTTAAACCCTAAATCCTAAAACCCTTAAACCCTAAATCCCTCAAACCCTAAAGCCTAAAACCCTCAAACCTTAAATCCTCAAACCCTTAAACCCTAAAGCCTAAAACCCTTAAACCCTAAAGCCTAAAACCCTTAAACCCTAAAGCCAAAAACCCTACAGATTGCTTTGTTTGCCAGGCGGCCACCGGGGCTTTCCCAGAGCCCGGCCAGGAGCCGAAAGCCACCCGGAGAAGGCTTTGATAATCATATTATATTATATTATTTTATTTTTTTTATTTTATTTTATCTTATTTTATTTTATTTAAGTTTATTTGAATTGATTATATCATATCATTTTATATCATATCATTTTTTCTACAATATATTGTATTATATTATATTATATTATATTATATTATATTATATTATATTTTATTTTATTATATTATATTATATTATATTATATTATATTATATTATATTATATCATATTA